TAATAAGTGTGTAGCGAGAGTAGAAAATGCTATCGACCCCGCGCATTTGTAGACATCGCGCACCAACGCCCCCTTCGCATTTCAGTTTTCAATCGCTAAGCATTCCATTTCCCTTGTCCCATCTCCTCAAAATTCCTCTCCGTGTCCCCCCTTGGGGCCCTGATACAATTTTCTACAGGCCCCTCACCGGCTTATTGTATTCTCTCTTGTTTTGAATGTAATATTTCTCACATTTCGGCTCCAGAACAATACATATACAGCATTAGTAGTCGAAGATTGCATAACAGTCAACTGGTATGTTGTGATGTTCTATCTAGGTTTTCACGTTCTCTGAGAAGTTTGGTGTCTTCAGGACGCTGATCGAGGGTGACGTGTCTGGTCAATCCAAAACAACAGAACTCATGCTCGCTTGTCGCTTTTCGAAGCTGGACGTCTTTCGGGAGCGGAAATGCCTACCCCAGGCGATCCTGAGCTATACTGGTTTTAGGCGGTTTCATTTTAAAATTGTGGGGATGGCTTCACGCGATCTCAGCGTGGTAAAGACCGTTCAGGCTGTTGTCGCATCACACTGTATAGTGAAGGCAGAGTTATGATTGAAAAGCCCAAAATTCCAGAACACTTCCAAACTTGATAATCTTTGTTGTAGTAATAATTTTTTTGAGCGATCGACAATACCACTTCCAAGAAACTAAAGTGTTACACATTTCGCGGATCTGGGAGACCGTACGCGCCATACACGTAACGAATGTAGAGTTATTACTTTTTATTACCGATGGTGTGTGTATGTATGTGCATATACGAAGGTGTCAGATTTCGCCTGAAAGGTGCACCCATAATGCACCTAATACAGCAACAGATGCCTACAGCTACCAAACAGCAATGAGCCGACGGTAAATTAGAATCGGAAATAATAAATACTTGGCTGTGCAGGGCATGGCGCACGCGGTTTGTGTTATGTCTGCACGTGTCGGAGGGTGGCGCGTGCCTCGTGTCGTGCGTGGAGCACATGTGAATTCACCGCCGCCATGCCGATCGCAAATCTGCCGCCACCGTGAAGAAGAAGTCGTTAAAACCGCGAACCATTTCGCTGCCTTCTGTACCTACGGATCGGATGTCAAGAACTTGAACTGAAACGACATGATACAGGCTACAGGGTGTCCCATTTTAATCTGCAACCCCTTAATTTCTATAGCAAAATTGCAGGGAGCAAGAAATTTTATATTTAAACGTGTTAATTTTTGATATGACCTTGTAAGTGATGGTCAAGGTCACCTTTGGGTGACCTCCTACAAAGCTCACGACTTTGCTGCCGAACTTTCTTGCTAGAACAAATTGTTTTCAATGACCTTGAATTGGCCTTGGAAGCCACGGTAATCGTCAAGATCAAGGTCATATTTATAAGTAAATTTCCAAATTCGATCTAAAAAAGAGGAGTTCCACTTGTAGATATTTGCATGACCTTATGATTGAAGGTCGCGTTTGAAACTGCCTAGTTTTCGGAATAATTATGTGAGAAGATTAAAATGGGTATAGGAGTTTGGCTACAACTTGAAGAAATCAAAGAAGACATTTCTGACACTTTTATATAATAATAATAGTAATAATAATAATAAAATGTCTTTATTTGTATCGCAACAATAGGGCGAAGTTTAGCCAGTCGGCTACTCTTACACTCAACCCTATTGTGCGAGGAAATATGTATATACAACCCAAAGTAAAATACATACATACATAACAACCTAACCGATCTGGCTCTCAACTGAGTGAGCTAATATAAAGAAAAAAGAAATGCATCCAATTGATGAATCCGCGCTATATTGGTTTACCAAAAAGGAACCAGACAAGAACCAATACTGAATGGATGGTAACACAAAAAAAAAACATGAAGATCATAACAACTAATCATATAAGATCTAACAGTTGATTTTTAACCAGGTTCCTGAAAGTTACATCACTTTTGTTTCTCCTTGCAGGGTGGGTTGAGTTATATAACCTCACAGCATTTGAAGTGAAACATTTTTGAAACAATGCGGTGTAGTGCAAAGGCAGATCTCTAAGATTAATTCTCTCTAGTTACCAATTTACTATGAAGGTAGATTGGCTTTTTAGTACACAATATCTTATGCACAAATACCATAAGACTATATTCAAATTGTTGATCCATTTTCAGCCATTTCAACTGCTTGATCTTAGAGGAGACATGACTATGTTTTCGAAGACCATACACAAACCTACAGCAGTTGTTTTGCATTCTTTGGATCCTACACCGATTCAACGAGTCAAGACAAGCATAATATAAAGTTGAAGCATAGTTGAGGCTGGACATTATCAAACTTTCGACTAGCTTCTTACGCGGTTTAAAGTTCAAAATGAATCTATTAGCATATAGCAGTCTTAATTTGATGTAGGTGGACTTCGATAGATGACACACATATTTGTCAAATCTTAGAGTCTAAGATGGCACCAAGATTTTTCGCTTGTTCCACAATAGGAATGAGTTCATTGTTGATGCTCAATGCAATCCTGTCCCTTACTCTATTATGCAAGTGCTTAGGACAAAAAAGCATGCGGATTAATCTTCAACGTGTGTCTCTTACAAAAATCAGTTATGTTGGCAAGATCACAATTTACCATATATGACACTTCATCCAGATGAGACGAAGTCAAAATGAAAAGAAAGCTGCGTATCATCCGCGTAAGTTTGTATAGCACAATGTTAAATAAATGAATGTTAATCCAAAGAATTTATCAAATACAGTAAAGGACCTAAGACAGACCCCTGAGGGACACCTGAAGAAACGGCCACAGAATATGAGACTCCTCTAATTGTCTTCACCTTTTGTTTGTGATTAGTTAAGAGTAATTTTCAAAAAATTTAAGCGGTATGCCAGAAAGTCCAATATACTTAACTTACTCAACAAAATTTTGTGGTTAACCGTGTCGAACGCCTTAGAGAAGTCAGCCATCACTAAAACTGTATTAATGTGTTTATCCATATTGAAGAAGTTGTACTGTGTCCAGCACGAAATCCAGACTGATGGACAGGGAGTAAATTGTTCACATCCAAATATTCAATTAGTTGAAGTTAAACAACCTTTCTAATATATTTGAAAAGAAACATAGTATGCTGACGGGTCGTAAATGATCAAGAAATATCGGATTTTTTACTTTGGCTGGAGGAATAATTATTGCTTCTTTCCAGGTATCAGGAAAACTCCCAGTTTCTAAACATATATTAACAATATGAGTTAGATACTGGAGTGCCTCACGTAAAGAAAGACCAAACATGTCCACACCAATACCATCACAGCCTATTGCAGTCGACTTTATAGAGACAGAAATATCTAGGATCTCCTGAACACTTACAGGTCTGAACACAGATAGTGTTAAATGAGGATTGAATAAATTCTGCCGATAAAATTCAGCTGTATCATCAGTTAAACGGGAATGGGTATGGGTATTTTGAAAATTTAATAAAAAGTGATCATTAACTTCGTTTGGATTTAATAAATTTAATGGAATCTCCGTATGTTTCCCAGGGTAAACGTCGATCATCCTAAGTTGATCCCAGGCAGATAGGCCTTTTTTTCGCGTCTAAGAGAGGCAAGTGCGAAATTTCTCATATCTTTATAAATTTTCCAATTGCAATCGGAAGGATTCTGGTGGAATGTAGCTAATGCTTTATCCCTTTCACTGCAAATGGCTTTCAGCGCAAATGTTAGCCAAGGGGCAGGTTTCTTTGTGACGCTGAACTGAGTCAAAATCTGTCCGAAAAATTGCTCGACAAAATTCAAAAGTTGCTATTTTTCATTTGTAGTTTGGCAGAACGGATGAAAAAGCTGGAAGCGATATCCTGAAGGTCTACAGACCGGAAGAGTAGGAAAAACGCTACCTCTGCAGCGGCTTTGAAAGCAAATGCCTTTTGTGAGGACAAGGCAGGTCTCCACGACTCAGGTCTTACAAGGTAATCTTGTATTCTTCACAACTCTTTGGGCTGCTCCTGGCATACTAACTATGTTAATCAGTGCCTGCGGAATTAAGGTGTGTTTCAGCTCAAAGTAGCACCGCGGTGATATTGAGTAAAATAGTGAGTTCAAGAGTCATTGTCCAGATTCATGAAGTATTCTCGAAAATAGTGTGATAACGTCATTCACAATGCAACTTATGCCATGTATTATGAGTTATAGGAGATAAATTGCTGGCTGCGATGCATCTAAAAGTATCATTGGAGAAAAGTGACGCCTCCTTCTTCATACATGAGCAAAGGTGTGTTGACGATTACAGAATTTGGGTTTATAAAACTATTTTCGTCGTCACCCCTCTTACTTCCAGAAATAGACCCCCTTTATACGGCAGTAAAATCATTTCATATAAACAAGGTAAATCACAAAGTCGATTTTAAGTTCATTGTCACCGCACTTTCTCAATCGCTCCTATTTCTGTCCCTGCAAAAGTCAATTTTCAATCAGTGGCGTATCCTGTACCAATTTCACTGTGTAGCGTTTAATATTTCTCGCTTTTGTTTCAATTTGTTCCAAAAGCACCTGCTTCAATATTGATTAAATTTGTGATATAACATTACAGCGACCTATGATTACATTTAGTAATTAACTTTAATTGAAATCATACCTTCCAATACCTGCAATCTCCTTATTGGTCCTCCCATACCTTCCAAGTTATAGATGAATCGAAGATACATCCTATGGCGAAAACAAAATGAAAAAGAAATAATGGTGTTCTCGGTTATCAAAGAAGATATCTCTAAGTTCGCGATATACTATATTCCCATTGAATTTTAATTACATATATTTTAAAATAATTGACCATGCTCGAATAAGTTCTTAACTTTCAAACACGACACTGCTTGTGGCTCCAGTTCATACAGGCAAACTGTGAGGTGTGGACTAATAATCTCAAGGAATCACTAGAACTGCCATATACAAAGTAGATAATTTGATTAAATACTTGTGCTCTCAACGTACCCTTCTCGGTCTTCTCTTAGTTACTAGCGTAATGACATTCCTGTTGACACTGTAAATCAAAACGTAAAATAGAAAATACCTCATCGGTCACAAATGGAGTGCTTTTTAAAGTGTTACTTTGAACAATTCACCAATCTACCTAGGAATAGCTTACATGATAGAAGAAAGCGAAAAGCTATGGTACAGTATATAAGCACACTAATACAGGGTTGTTCTGCAGGTAATAAAATAATATCACTATCCACCATTTGTTTCAAAATTGATGCTTTAGTTGCTAGAAAAAATATTACCTGCTGGATGCAAATGTGGCTAAAATCATTGATCCACGAAGTATTTTCCTGGAAAATATTTAGTTGGTGCAAAATAACAATGCTTAACTAACAGAAGGCTCGTTATTACTTAAAACGCTTATAGGGCCGACCAAACTTCAGCAAGTTATATATTATATTTCTAAGGCGCAAGATAGTTGAAATATTTTTACTCGGAGTGCATCATCAATGACTAGTACAGAGGGAGTACTAAGATATCACATCAAAATCTTGCAGCAAGAACTCAGGCAGTATTCGTATGACGTCATAAATAACACAAGTTTCAAGAATCCTCTAATGATACTAATTAGGCTGTATTTTGAAAAATCATCATAATTTCTATTTCCAGTGGAACCTACTGTAGAAGAGTCTTCGAGGATAGCAATAAAAACCATACTAAATTACCATGATGAAATGAGAGACCAAAATGGCACTGTATGTCTGATGGGCAAAAATCACAACATCCTCTATGTAGCGATGAAGCTATGTTTCGATTGGCAAGTCCAAGATCTAGCCATTGTGAGCGTACTTTTTTACCATACCTTCTAAATATAATATAATCAAAGGCTGGGTTCATCTTACAATATGTTTTCAATATTTTTCCGAACACTTAATGCTTTATTTCCCAAGCCTACTGGCGGGGAAGTATTGTACTCGCGAAAATTATCGAAAACGAGATATTATTTCATTTGGATGTTATATGACATGTACATTACGAAGAACTATGTCACTCATTTCTGGTCTGTCTGTCGGTCTGTTCACTAATTTTATAACCACTTATAACTAAGATATAAGATATAAATATACTATAAGAAGTACCGCTCGGATTTCAATGAAACTTTTACACAATGATACTACTATGCCAAGGACGCAAAAGCTTTATAGTTTTTGACAATTGTTCTAGTGGCGGCAAAGAAAGAGGCCTAAAACGAAAAATGTAAAAATCGCTCAAACCTCGTTTTTTTCACAAAGGGCCTAGTCTGTGCTGAACACAATTATAATTCTTTATGTACTGATAACGGCGTTGCGTGGGGCCTGCAGAGTCAACCTACTTGACGCCATTTTTTGACATACTGAAAAGAAAGGTCATAAGTGATTGGTATTGTATTGTCAACCAGTACGGTTACATTTATTATAATATACGTATATTGCTATTAGAATGTTTCTATTACACTCTACTATGACCATGATTTGTATATAGTTTTTTCAGAGCTAATGTCACATTTCTGTTTTACTCCCCACGCCTACTGAGAAGGAAGTATTGTAACCGCGAAAAATTTAGTAAATGTGATATTATGTTTTCTGATGAGCGGCCAAAAACGAAAAAAATTAAAATCGCTCAATTAGTTCCTTTTATATGCTCCTAACTTCAGTAATTTAATGTTTAAAGATTATTTCATGTAAATGTTGGCCGCGGCTCCGCTTTAGATGGCCCATGCGCAAGGTCTAATTTTGGCACACTCTCTCCAACATATCGGCCGGTATCTCACGAATAAATGCTTCAATATTGGCTTCCAGTGCGTCAATCGTTGCTGGTTTATCCCTGTAGACATTAGCCTTAACATAGCCCCACAAGAAATAGTCCAACGGCGTTAAATCACATGATCTAGGCGGCCAATTGACGGGCCCCAAACGTGAGATAAACTGTTCACCGAACTCGCCTCTCATTAGGGCCATTGTTTCGTGTGCGGTGTAGCATGTGGCACCGTCTTGTTGAAACCACATGTCAGCCAAGTCCAGCTCTTCTATTTTGGGCAAAAAAAAGTTTGTTATCATCGCACGGTAGCGCTCGCCATTCACAGTTACGTTCCGGGCATTGTCGTCTTTGAAGAAGTACGGTCCGATGATGCCACCGGCCCATAATCCACACCAAACAGTGATTTTTTCGGGATGCATTGGTAGCTCTTGCAATGCTTCTGGCTGGTCTTCACTCCAGATACGGCAATTTTGCTTGTTAACGTACCCATTCAACCAGAAATGAGCTTCGTCGCTGAACACAATTTTTCGATAAAAATGTGGATCTTCCTCCAACTTTGCCAGCGCCCATTCACCAAATTGGAAACGTTGTGGGAGGTCGTGTGGCTTCAATTCTTGCACCAGCTGTATCTTATAAGGTTTTACACCCAAATCCTGTCGCAAAATTTTCCACGTAGTGGAGTAACAGTGTCCCAATTGCTGCGAACGGCGGCGAATCGACATTTCACGGTCATCACTAACACTGGCGGATACAGCCGCAATATTTTCTTCAGTCAACGTCTGCGTGTTGGTGGTTTAATGTCCAATAATGTAAACTGGGTTCGAGATTTAGTCACAAGCTTCCGAATAGCTCCCTCAGTAGGCCGACCAAATTGCCCATAAATTGGAAGCAGTGCTCGATGCACTCTCTTAACCGAGCATGAATTATGATAGTAAAATTCAATAATTTGCTAGCGTTGTTCGTTCGTAAGTCGATTCATGGTTAAATTATAGTCCAAACTGCACAAGTTTGACAATGACACAAGACACGATTCACGCGTCATCTGTCAAAAACAGTGTTGCCAAAAAGATACTAGCAAAAAAATCACCCATTATAAGCGATATCTTTCAGGTTGGTTTAAAAATATAAGTACCTCAAAATATAGGATATCGGATAAATTTTAAATCGATAATCTTTTATAGTTCCCTTTAAATCTATTACGATTTCTTTGGAGGCATCTTAGACCAATACATGTTATACAAATCCATTAGGAAAGAAACCTATTACGTCGCTCGAAACAACACTGGAGTCAACATACTTCTTTTCATATTTTTATACTTGAACTACCACACAGACCTGAGACCTAAATACCTGTGGGTACCGTGGGGAAGGGGGAGACATCATACGAACTACTGCGAGTGAACACGTATGCATGTGACATGTTACACACATTCTGGCCCCACCTTGGAGTTCCGCCGGTTGGCACCTCCACGGTCTAAATTCCGTGACCGTCTACCATCTATGCACAATAACAACATCCATAGCCAAGGGAAATATTCTCCTGGGACGCGATTAGAACTACCACTACGCCACCGCGCATTCAGTAGATGCGCAGTATTGTATTCCTAACTGTTGATAACAATTCAAGTTATAAATTCTTGGTATTCGGACGGTTTGAATTGTAGATGCGATTTTTTAATATTCCAGGTCAGTTTACTTTTGGAACAAATCTACCTCTGCGAAAAGACATTCGAACGTATACTGATAGGCGCCATATTTGGGAACAAAGCACCTCACTATATCGCTGGATGGAAAAGTGACTTTGAGACTGAAGAGGAGAACGTCAGAGCTGTGGTGTATTTTCTTGATAAGGCCACCAATGCCGCTTTAGAATTACCGTTTACAGTTGCGAATGAAGAAAGACTTTTTCGATTCGTGGATGTTCCTATAGAAAGTTGTGGGAGAGCGTCGCCTTTGAAGGTATTACAATTGTTCTGATATTATCCTTGCACAAAAAGGTTCGACTGGTGTCAAAAATTCGAACGCGCGACCGGCATAATGCACATGCGTGAACAAAATTCAATTATACGCGCGTTCTTAAAGTGGGATCTTCCCTTTACAGAGCGTATAGTTCAGGTAATAATAAGCATCTTTTTACTAACATATGTACCAAAGCTTTAAGATAACCGAGATATTGGGTTCCAAAAAGCAATAAATGAGCCAGTACGATCCTGCCACCCTCCCCTCCCACAATTCCCTCCTATGTCAAAACGTATGAGGTTGTACTAAGACTATGGCCCGTATCGTCAGTCGTCCCTACAATTGTAGGGCGCGTTTATGGCCTCCTTGATTGTCATACTCCTTTCTCTCCTTCAAAAATTTCTAGATTACACTTGTCCCGTGTCAGCGTCAGCGCTCTCCTATTGATATGTTTTCTTTTTAAATTGTAGGAAATTTCAGGCTGATAAAACATGATATAACTCAAAAGCAAGCACAATTTGATGCAAATATACTAAGTGACATATAAATCCGAACACCCAGTTTAAATGGTTTTATTTTAATAAAATTTTGTATAAGTACTTAATGAAGCATAATAAGTAAATGATAAAAATTTCAAAATGATTGCACTGCTTTAAAGCCCTTTGACCTTTAACAATGTGTGAGTGCACCCTGATGTGCTACGCATTCTCCAACTCGCCTAGGCATGCTTCTGATCAGGTGGTCAATATCCTCCTGTGGTATCTCATTCCAGGCAACCACCAACTCCTCTCGAAGTGCTTCTAGAGTCTGAGGAGGACGTTGCAAATTGAGCAATCTCCTACAAATCATATCCCACACGTGCTCAATTGGGGATAAGTCGGGAGATCTTGGTGGCCATGGTAACAATGTGACATCATTATGTTGAAAGAAGTCTATTGTGACTCTTGCAACATGTGGTCGGGCATTATCTTGTTGGAAAGTTGGATCTGTCCGGGTGTCAAGCTAGGGTAAAAGATGGGGTTCTAGAACTTCGTGGATATAACGCTGCGCGTTCATGTTACCTCTGATGAAGATTAAAGGTGACCTGGAACCATAAGCTATAGCACCCCAAACCATAACTCCAACAGTGTGATGAACATGTCTTTCAACAAAAAACTGTGGATTCCTGCTTTCACCACGTCGCCTTCTAACCCTGGCACGACCATCGTGCATGCCTAAACAAAATCGAGACTCGTCACTAAAGACAATACTGTTCCATTCCTGATCCCAGAGTGACCGTTGTCTGCACCACTCAAGGCGCTTACGTCGGTGTTCTCGAGTTAAAGGGAGGACCCAGTGTGGCCGGTATGAAAACAAGCCAAAACTTCTCATTCGTCGGTAAACACTTCGCATGCCAATAGGTCTTCCGTGTTCTGCAAGCCATTCATTTGCAATGGACCTGGTAGTGGAGAAACGGTCCCTTAAGGCCAATAATCTTAGGCGGCGATCTTCACGGTCTGTTGTTCTACGGCGGCGTCCAGTGCCCCTTGCTCTTTGCGTACGGCCTTCTCGAAGCCATGCCTGACAACACCTAACCACAGTGTCTACACTTCTTTGCACTCTAACTGCAATTGCCCGAAAAGAAAGTCCAGCTTCCCGAAGTCCCACTATACGGTCCCTATCAAACTCACTAAGTTGACGAAATCGTACAGGTCTCCGTACTCTAGGCATCGTAACCGATCGTAAAGGATGTCAAGAACCAAAATCCCCCAACGTTGATTCTTTACTGCGGCTGACATATTCATTTTTAGAGCGTTAGTGAATAAAAAAAAGCAGTATAAAAACCGGAATGTCCAACTGATAAGGCTGGAAATTTTTTCACTTGTTATTTACAGTAAGATGAATACATTCACCAACTTTTATTAAAATAAAACCATTTAAACTGGGTGTTCGGATTTATATGTCACTTAGTATAGATGTTTGTGACATAACCTCAAAATAGAGTTCTGACACGGAGAAGTAGAAAACTATGACAATCAGGGAGGCCATAAAGGCGCCCTACAATTGTAGGGACGACTGACGATACGGGCCTAAGTGAGTCAGTATCCAGATCATGCGCCGTATGGCGTCTAGGTTAACCTAGTTTATAAACAAAGCGCATTTGAAAAACCGAAACTGGCACATTCCTAGAGCAAAAACGTATTTGCCGACTTGATATGAGTATCTCCAAGATCCCATTGATACTCCGAAGGTGTACTCACCACGTTGCCGTAGCCCTCGATGTTTCTTTTTATCAGAGCTACATATATTTGTTTATATCGTGCAAAAGCCGTCTCGTTGAACACAGTTGAGGATCCAGGCAGCCCCAAAAGTTGTACATTTAGGAAGAGGTAGAAAAACTCATGTTTTTGAATCGAACAGTGACAACTTCAAGCAGTGTTCACAAACATGTGACAGGGCAGTACTTGGAATTCCGTACCAATGAATAATGAGTATTTTTCTGCAATTTCTTTTTTATGTTATTTTATCGCAAATTAGCTTTGCGTAGTTGTCTCTGAAAAGAAAAGTCCCAAGTTTCAGGACACCATGTACATATGAGTGCTTTTCAGATAGCCCCCTTACTCATTTTTTGAACGGGTCAAGTTAGCAAGCTTAAATTTGGGGTAATGAAATTGCTGTATGGATACTATATTTTAACGTAAAAGTGACAGATGAAAGTTTCAAGATGCCAGGTTATGAAGTCCAAGTATTCATCAGTAGCATCAAAATTACCTACTGCATGACCCCCCAATTTGTTTGAATAAATGCTCCAAATAGCGTTCAGCAACTTTCCGGTTTCACGCTAAAAGATGTGTCGTTGCATAAATTAAATTACCCCTGGTTTCTGCTTGCTTACTTGACCCGTTCAAAAAGTACATAGAAGGGTACCTTTCTGGAAATTACTGTATATGCATTCCAAAGAATTAGATAAAATAAGTATTACTTCGACTTAAAAGCAACTCAAGTCAAAGATTGAACTCGTTTAGAGCTATGCTTTTCTGCTCGATTTTGTAGAAACATTGCACTTGTGACTGTGCACGGTGTTGTAACATGGAAAGTAACGCTCGGATTCCAATAATATTTTGGATCAAATTTAATACTATCCTAAGGACGAAAAGGCTTTTGTGTGCTTTTGAAATTGAGGCAGTGGCGGTGGAAGTATAGACAAAAAATGCATGAACAAAAGAACAAAAAATCGATATCATGTTTTTTGATATTTCTCAAACTCCTATTCATTTTCGGAAAAATTTTTGGAGGGTTTGAAAAGTTAAGGTTGGGCATTTGTAAATGAGCACCTTCCGTATACGTGGAAAATGTTCTATAATTTAGAGCTTTTACCAGCAATGCTACTTAACCACTAAACATAATTTGTTACAGATATTTTCTGTACATTTGCCATTGAAACAGATATATGAAATATGGCTTCTACTTTCTATAGTGTGAGATATAGAGGTTTTCGATATATTACACGATTCCCAGTATTTTTAATAGACTGGAACCATACTTTTTTGAAATTTGCATGGTCTGCGTCGGACATATAAGGACATATCTACTTGAAGCCATTTTTTGGGTGGAAAATTTACCGGTTCAAAAGTTGATGAACCAATTAATCATTTCATACGGATGGGAGTCATTTGCTAACACCCATTGATTCACCAACTAGTAATACATCTTTTGTTCGCCCGACCACAGATGGCCAACCATGAACAGCTGTTTCGTGCTATTTGGCAACTCTTCAGCATGGTATAAGCTTGGTCTCGGTGGACAGCGAACGAAAGCTGAGCAACTCTACCCTATTCAGGGTATAAAGTTTGTCGAAATAAGACAGCAGAATATAGCACTGCGAAAGTGAGAACAGCAACATGTCTGTTGAACTGTATGCCTGTTGGCATTGTCAGATGGTAGATGCTACCGATTCTGGTCCTACACTAGATACGGTCTGCTCGCCATGAGAACTGGAATAGTTTCAACAGACAGCTTGCTGTTTATAGTTGTGCAGTAGACGATTTTGGTAATAGCTGGCACTTTGTGATGTCTTATTTCACTAGACCCTATACTCTGAGTAGAGCAGAGTTGCTCAGCTGTCATGGGTTGTCCACAATGAAGCACTCTATCACATTTACTGTTTTCATGTTTCATCAATGATATACCTAAATTAGATAATACGGAATTAATCTTCATTTAGATCTTTAAGGTTACATGTTAAAAAGTGGATAATCAAAGTCAATCCTGAAAAATCAGCCCTTATAAATTTCAGCCAAAGTAACAGGCCCGAATTTCTGAATATTATAAAAGTGAATAATGAAGTCATTGAAGAAAAGATAAACAATTAACTCTTAACGAACAAATATTACAGCTGAGAAAAAAGGATGCAGCGGCAAGAAAATATATCTATCCATACATAAATATTTTCTCTCCACTAAGTCAGAAATTAAAATTGCAATTATATAAAGCATATGTATGGTGTATATTAGTCTACGCTGCACCTGTTTGGAGTTCTATGGCCGAATACCTATGCAAGACAAAGTGTAACAGAAACAGTTTGCTTGAGACATATAATGAATAAAATAAGTTATAAAATAAGTAACAAGGATTTATATGATACTATGAAACTAACACATCTAAGTCAAATCATATATAAGAAATCTGAAAAATTCTTTAACCGAAAGGTCCTACAGCTTCAGTTCAGCGAAAATATTGGTCAATTATAGGTACGTTGTCACAGCGCCTTTCAGAATAAAACATAATCTGATAAATAATCTTTTAATCAATTACGCTGATTAACCCTTTCCACGACATTGTACACGTGACAAAAAAACCATGTACTGTATCAAATACCAAAAAACAGGCGACGATCAAGAAATAATAAAACAAACAAAATAACACAAAAGATAATAAAACAGAATAAAATAAAAAAATTTACCCCAAAGGCTCAAAAATTTTGAGATTTGCCGAAAATTGTCTGATCAAAAATTGTTTAAAATAATGTAGAAATCAATATTATGTAATTAAGATGAGTAGCTCGTATAAGGTATAGCTGTAATAATATTAATGTTAATATTGTAGAATTATTATTATTGTAATAGCGATTAAACATTAATTTATTTTGATTCAATGTCCACCAAAACCAAGCGTACACCATGCTGAAGTCTTGCCAAATAGCAAGAAACAGCTGTTCATGGTTGTCTGTGGTCGCGCGAAGGAAAGCTATATTACTAGTTTGTTCAAAGGTGAGTAGTCCGTGGTCTACTGACCACAGTGGTGATCCGGCTGACAATGCGAACTGGTATACAGTTCCAATAGACAACTTGCTGTTTTCACTTTCGCAGTGGTCGATTCTAGTGATAGATGGCACTTTGTGCTGTCTCATGTTACTGGAAAATATCGAAACCAGTCATTAAGAGTTGTCTTAGTAATAAATACCATGACAGGACATGCAGACGTTCAGACCAAAAACGAATTTTGCTTTTTTCAGATTTGCGTCCAATTAGGCATACCAGACAAGCTCCACATCTTTCTCCGTTTCGGAGCTAGGCTTTACACAGAAAACGAAGAGTTCAATGTGTTTGAACACATCCTAAACCGCCTTTCAGAATTCAACCACAAATACCCCTACAACCTCATCGCATGTCTACAACTGCTCCTTAGAGCAGCTCCATGGATAAAAATCAAACCGAAAGATTTCACAGAAGAAGAAGAAAAGATATTATACGAAAGGCTTTTGGAAAAATATGCAGACTTGGTGGATGACGGAATTGTGCCTTTGTCAAGATGTGGCTTGACGCCTCCAGAGTTGAAGCATCTTTGCAGATGTGTGATCAGGGAGAAATTGTGGGAGAATTACCAGTTGCCGAGTGGAATAAGAAGTTTACCTGTTCCTGAGCAGATGTGGAAGTATTTGGATCTTCTAGAAGATTGAAACTATGTTGTAATTCATTTTTATCATAACCAAAAAATTGGAGATATTAATTCTCGAACAGACCAAAAAATATAATGCCAGAAGTTCCTACAAACATCTTGTGTGCTCCCCTACAGAGACAAAGACCCCGAAAGTACCCCATTGAAAATTTTCTCGAACAAGTTTTGAACGAACAAAAAACAAACACTAACGAATTTGGACTTCCAGGGACCGACTATTCTTTGAAACTAGCAGTATTGCCTATTTTGTTTACAGAATAATACTTCGATGAAATAAGTCGTTTGTAAGAAGAACAGCCTGGTTTCAAGACTGGTCCTATCGGTTTACACTGCGACTGATCCTCAAAGGAAGAATCGCCAAAAGCATAAATCTTGACGAAGTAAATTGTTCTTGTGTCCAGTGTGTTTTTGGTTCAGTGATTCAGGATCTATTATTAAAAATACCGTTATTTTCAAAATGGAGGAAGTCACATACTGGCTCCAGTACTAAGATTGATAGACCTGGACTGAAACCAGAGTGTTTTCCTCAAAAAAGGTTAAGCTAACTGATGTTATACAAGAGTACATTTTATTAAATATCAGGCTTTTCCAAAATATAATCGCTAATTATTATACACTGAGAAAAAAATTAATAATCGAACAAAATGTTCAATTAGGCCAATTAAAAATTATACAAACAAACAATTATACTTATTAAATTTGTTTAATTGGTTTAGGCAAAAGTGTTTGCCTTATTTTAGGATTTTATTTAGATTTAAAGGAATATTTGGAATTTAAAAAAACAAATTGCATTTCCCTAAATGATGTATAACTGTGCTCTGACAAATCTTAAATTTTAAAAAACCTTATAACCCTAACAAAATTCAATATTTTTTATTTTCATTGATTATGAACTTATATATGGGATCAAGTTTTCCAACTATTTATTTGTTTTTCCAGAAACAGGTTATATAGTATATCAGCATTCACTAGGCGCAATTATTTGTTTTGAATTCAGAATGTAGGGAAAAAAATATCTGAAACTGTATAAGGCCACTTCATCATGTGTACAAAAATTGTACTTTTATTTATAATAATCAAACAACAAACATTGCACTCATCCGCAATCAACGCATTTACACATATCAACAAATTCGACACCACGTTAAACAAACTTAGATATTTTCAAATACTACAAAGTCTACAACAGGAGGCCTTACATCCTGTACATATGATATAAAAGAAAAGCATATCAAGCCTATATTAGGCACATGTTTTGTATAAATAGTTTTATTTGGAATGAGAAATAATCTAACCATGGTTATGGGCCACTAAGCATTTGCATAAATGACCCACTTTGCAGCTAATACACCAACGGCAACATTCGAATATGAAGCTCCTCGCGAAAATCACAAATGAAACAGAGGGGTTCGAAGCGCGTCACCGACTCTGCGTCTGTCGCATACTCCCGATCATTCACGAATGAAGAGCCGAGTCCTGCCGAGTTCGCGATTCAAATAAACAGTTTAGCTGTTTAATTGTTTCGAATGTACCTTAGATATTTTCAAATACTACAAAGTCTGCACCAACAGGAGGCCTTACATCCTGTACATATGATATAAAAGAAAAGCATATCAAGCCTATGTTAAGCATATGTTTTGTATAAATAGTTTTATTTGGAGTGAGAAATAATCTAACCATGGTTTTGGACCACTAAGCATCTGCATAACTGACCCACTTCGCAGCTAATACACCAACGGCAACATTCGAATATGAAGCTCCTCGCGAAAATCACAAATAAAACAGAGGGGTTCGAAGCGCGTCACCGGCTCTGCGTCTGTCGCATACACCCACCCGATCATTCACGAATGAAGGGCCGAGTCCTGCCGAGTTCGCGATTCAATTAAACAGTTTAGCTGTTTTAATTAGAATGTCTAATTGTTTTAAATGCACCTTTTCCACATAAACTAAATTACCTAAACTGATTAAACAGTTTAAAAAAACAGATATATGGTTTGCTATCTTCGAGCAAATTAGTTTCATAGTATATTACTTCCATTAAACTGGTTTCAGAGAATTCAGTTTAATTAAGCCGAATAATTTAGTTAATTAGAGTGATTAAAACTGTTTAATTGATCACGTTTTCTCAGCGTACCATTACCATACAGAAAGTTGCAAGCTAACAACGACAATAGTACTAGACTGCTACTTGGCACTTGTGGGTGTCTGTACCAGTAATAACATAACTGGTGCATCGGTGAAAGATCAAGGGTAACACTACTGCTGAGCTGATAGATTGGCGAAAATGCTTGACGTGAAAACGGTTGCTCTGAAAGACCGTTGGCTATCTATGACCTGTGTAAGGAAAATTCCGCTGGGCTTTATCACCACCATTATCAATAGTATGGGTGGTTGGCGATCCAGCCCCGAGCCTGCGCTAGAGAGGACGAACAATTAGCCCAATGGGGCAAAAGTGATGTGATCTTGGCTGATTGCCATTCCTCTCATACAGAATATAGAATATACACGGTGCATAAGACTAGCAGTACTGCGATTCATTTACTTTCCATAGATTCGATCAATTAAGGCCATAATTGGTAGCGGTCAAGTGATGACTAGGCTATTAAACGTGAACTGAGATCTCCAACAGTTTCAAATAATAGCAGCTATGCTCTCTCCGCAGTAGTCGATTTTGGTGTAATAGATGACGCTTTGCGCTGTCTTATTTCTATAGACAGTATCTCCTGGATGCTTTTATTCAATGTCCCAGAGTCGAGAAACCAAGCCTAGACAATGCTGATGAGTAACCAAGAAGCACGAAATAGCTGTCCATGGTTCGATGTTCAGTTTAAGGTAATCATGTTGAGGCTGACTATTTGAGAAATCAATCATTTCTAGAAACGCCACTGACTGTTAAGCAATCAACGTTCGTTGTGAATATCGGCAGTTATTACTTTTACTCCAGAATTAAATATTTTTCTCAAAGTGACCCGAATACCAGTAGAAAACTTAAATATTTACTAGGGGAATCGGTGTCAGGACACACCATACGCTCCCGTGTATACAAAACAATATACAAGCCCATCCCGTTTCCTCTAGGAACATATGAGTGCGGCAAGAAACTAGGCGGAAGGGGACCTCCTTCCTGGTTTACCTATACGCCTAGACCGACACGTGGCAGTAACACACCATATGGATAAGATGATACTGGAATCGGCACCTGAATAAGGATATAAATAGATGTTGTTTAATGTTGTAAGTCGGTTCATCTAGGAAGATCTTTATAGCAGCTTAGTCATCATATCTACGCCAAAACTACAAATTTAGACAACTGTATTTCCCTTCAGGATGATTTAGATATCGTCCCACAGTGATGTCACAATAACTTACTCTTCTTAAATACGTATTTCCAATTGTAAAGTTTTTTTGTATAGTCGCAAAATGAACTCGATTATCTTTGATCATTCCATAAACAATGCGGTTTTGAAGAGAACAACAGAGATAAAAACATGAGTAACCTGAGCACGCTACTTTGACATGTAACCCTTTCTATGCATATTAGATAAATATCTTCAAATTAGAATATATGTTATCATAGATTTGATGGCGCGTTTCAAACTAGAGTCTCTACAATTAAGACGTTCCATTGTTGGCCTGACATTCCTCCATAAGCCTTTGCACGACAGAGAGGTTGCACCAGAACTTCTCCAGAGATTTAAATTCGAGAAGGACTCTTCTGTAGTACCTCTCGTATCAACGTTTTTTTATTATCCGCTATATTCCATATGCAATAATTATAATTCAAAGCAGACAGCAAAATGTATTTTTCTAACAAAAAATTGATTTTGTTATATAGGTGTTGTGCATGTAATTTTATTTTCATCTGTATATAAGGACAGCTTTTCAAAATATTTTGCGTATATTTAAAGAACTTTCTCAGTCATACAAATGGGGAGGATTGAGTCAATGGTTTTGGTAGGAAGCAACTCTCAAAACCTAATAATATCTGGAAAAGGTGCTACGATGAAGACTAGATAAACAAATTCATATCAGATCTATGAGCTGAAGATTGGTCTCTACTATATAACATGATCAGATGTTAGCCTCGCGTTTGGACATTTTTTGAGGTATTTAAGTACCACTTTCAGATGAATTTTCCACGGCGTATGCATACGGTTTCAACCAAAAGAAAATTGTGGGTGAACGAAGAAATAGTGCGTTCTAGTCATAATTTAAACGAACTTCATTATTTAGCAACGGTAGTTCCAGAATGCAAGCAACAACATATTGAAAAAAAGAGACAACACAAGAAATTAATAGAACATACAAAACGAAGGTATTATCAGAAAAAAATATTTAATTCCATCAACAAAACTAAAGCTGTCTGGATGACTGTATCTGCACTGACCGGAAATAATACAAAAGAAAAACAATAATATGAGTTCGACTACTACATCCAATCAGAAAAACCGTGCTGATGAATTCAATCAGTTTTTCAAAAATGCTCCTCTAAAAATCGTCAGAAATATTCCAACAAATCCCACTCAGGAAAATACCTTTAGTTCGAGCATGGAAGATACACGGCATTTGATGTTGCTGTATCCATTTACTGATGATGAATTATTTGACTTAATTAATAAAAAGCTAAAAAACAAACATTCATCTGGGCCTGATGAGATCCCAAATTTTATAGTAAGAAAAGTATTGAATTACATTTTAAAGCCACTGGTCTTCATGATCAATATATCATTCTGCACAGGGAAATTTCCTTGTCTGCTGAAAACAGGAAAGGTGATTCCAGCTGAGTAATTACAGACCAGTAACAATACCATCAACTTTTTCAAAAGTATTCGAGTCCTGCTATATGGACATGTTGTTTTTGTTTTTGTTAAATAATAATATTTTGACAGAGAATAAGCACGGTTTTAGAAACGGGAAATCTACGGCAACAGCAATTCACAGCTTCTACGGAACTCTTGTCAAAATGATTGAGGCGGGCGAGTGCCCTGGGCATTTGACTGCGTCAATCATGAAGTGCTGTTGCAAAAAATGTCAAAGTATGGCATAAATGGTCCATCATATTGTGAGTATCGTCGATAGTGGTCTGAATGCGCCTATTAAGTCCGGCATAGCTGACATCTCAATAGGCGACCCTCAGGGCTCTATTCTAGGACCTGTGCTATTCAGTCTATATGTAAATGACCTTGAGTTCTGTTCCGCTGAAGGTAGATTCATTTTATATGCAGATGATACTTCAGTGGTGATATCGAATAAGTGTGAGGCTACATTAGAGAGATATTGTGGAGTTTTATTTCAAGGTATTCACAAGTGGTTTAGCAGCAATCATCTCTATTTGAATTCGGAAAAAATATCAGTTGCCCAATTTCACAACATCCAGAAGAAGCCTAGGACATTAAATATCACTTTTAGTGGCTCAAGAATGTCCCTTAACACGCAAGTTAAATTTTTGGGCTTGTATCTAGATACAGGTTTGAATTTTAAAGACCACTGTGTATACATTGCTTCAAAGATAAACTCCCAATCATATCTTATGAAAAATTTGCGAACTGTCCTTACCGAAGCACAGATAGTTTCTGTTTATTATGCTCAAGTTGAGACACGAGTGAGATATGCACTATGCTTCTGGGGTTTGTCTTCAAATGGCCAACAAGTGTTTTTTGCCCAAAAAGAGTGGTTAGATGCATGATGGGAGTCAGCAGTTGGCATTCTTGTAAGGATATTTTTAAACGCCTTAAGATTT